CCATGTAACGCAGATTGGTTTTTCTTAAATCGTGAGTCAATAAAGTTACAGAAAACGTTCCATGTCGAGGGACACCAAATATCGTCTTCGTTGCTGATTCGTGAGGATTTTGTTGCTGCTGTGCGTGGAGTCGATTCATTCTACTTGACGCAAGTTTTCGTTCTTACGGTCTTGCATCTTTGCTCGACCGGAATTTCTTGTTGCTGCTAGTATCGTGAAAGATCGGGCCGACGAACGACTCGCCATCTAGTCGAGTCTACATCAGATTTAAGACAACATGCAAAACAGTTTAATATCAATTGTCTAAAATGACTTATAAAAGTGAACGGAGCGAGTAATATAAATAATATTTTGTTTAGATGATTACATATTTCAGAGAGTGTTCAAAATTTATGTAAAAAACACAAGTTTAAACTAAAATCACGTTCTAAAACAATGCGAAAATTTATAAAATTTTGTGAACAATTTTTTCATAAAAATTCGGTAGCATTTTTCTTAGGAAAAACCGACTAGAAACAAAAAGAACACATAGAAAGGAAATATGGGCTGGGCAAGGGGAATTCTATAGGCGTTTGCTCGACATCTTTTCGCAGCGAGCGTCCAATAAGAGCTCTTCTATCCATTCCCAATAAGAGCTCTTCTGTCCATGCTTAAAACGTAACCTTTTTTACATAAATAAAAATAAAGTTTAAGTGCTTGCATTTTTTTCGTGTGATATGTTTTCAATAAACTTGTTAGATCTGAGGATAGCCCAGTTTATTTTTCATCTGACCAAAGGGCAGAATTCCACCATAACTACCAGCATCCAGTTGACTCCGGAAAGCATCTATATATCACTTAGAGCAATCCTTATAACATCTCGCCTGCAGTCCCCAGTTAGATTGGCTAGGCCCAACACACGCGTCTATATGGGTCTAACGTCAATTTATGCAAAACTCTTCTAGATTGGCTTTTCTTGCGATTTTTGTGTACCTTGCTCGATTTTTTTCTGGCATTTATTTTTTATTTTATAAAGTGTTCATTACATTTTTTAAATAGCAGTGTAAAAATGATATTAAATGTATATCAAAAAATGTTTCTAATGCATATGGAAAATGAACAACGTGCATGAAAAAAGTAGACATCAAAACGTATATTTTAAAAAAATATTAACCATATATTCTAAAAATGTTAAATGTGTATATAAAAATGTTCCTCATGTCCACAAAAATGTATAACGTGCACGGAAAAAGTAGACGTCAAAATTATATTCCTAAATATGTTAACCATGCATTTAAAAAGTGTTAAACATGTATAAAACAACGTTCCTAATGTACACCAAAAATGTACCATGTGTATAAAAAATTATACATTAAACACATATGTTTAAAAAAATGTTAGTAATGTACTTAAAAATGTTGAATGTGTTCATATGTATACGAAAATGTAGAAGTATATGAAGAAAGTAGATATGAAGAGATGTATACTCCAAGAAATGTTAATCATGTATATGAAAAATGTTAAATATATATAAAAATAATTTTTTGGATGTACATAGAAAATGTGCAACGTGTATGAAAAAAGCAAACATCAAAGCATATAATTGATTTTTTTCGTAATCATGTATTTAAAAAATATTAAACATATATACCATTTGTGTTCCTTATGTATATGAAAAATGTACACCATACAAAAAAACATCAAAACATGTACTTGAAGATTGTTAAACTTCTATTCGAAAAATGTCAAATGGGTTTAATAAACGTTCCTGATATTTACAAAAAATGTGCATTATATATGACAAAAGTAGACGTGTGTTGTAAAAAGGGAAAAACTGAACGAAACCAAAGAAAACAGATGCATGACAGGGAAATGATACATAAAAGACCACATAAAACCAATAAAAAACACATAGAAAAAGTAATAAAATACGTAACCGTTGAAAACCAATGAAAGCTGTAAACAAAAACACATAAGAAGAAAGAAAGAAAAAACAATGAAAACCCAAAAAACATAAAGAAAACACACAAAAGAAAGAAAGAAAAACCAGTGAAAACTGAAATACCCTGCAAAGAAAACCCCAATAGAAGAAATAAAGGAAAAATACTATGAAAATCGGACCAATTCACCTAGTAGACATCAAAGTAGAAGAAAAAACCAACGTACAACTGCGACAACTGCGACAAAGAGAAGAAGCGGCCGGCCGGTAACGATGCAAGGAAAAAAGAAAACCTTCAGGCGAGATATATGGAAATTATTGTAAATCATTGCGCGGTTGACTTTATAGTTTATTGAAATCACTAATTAAGGGGTACCTCTTATAATAGTCACTCATCTTCTCTAGTGATGACAAGTGACGCACTACATGCGCAACATTTATCACAACCTATGAGTTTTGGGCTTTTTTGATAGATTCTTTTTTTTAAATGGTTTACCTCTTGAACGGTGAACCGTTTTCACTATTGCATTTCTTGCGTCAAAATCTTGGAAACTAGATTCTATATTAATATGTTTGAGCCACCTTTTTCTTGAAAACCTAAAATTAATAAAAAGAAAAACACATAAACCTAAAAAACTGGAAACAAAATAACCGAAGGATAAGTATGTTTCACACAGTGCATATTTGTTTTTTTTTCACTTTTCGAGAAGCACAGTTGTGCCTCACTATGAAGCATAACTATGTTTTTCACTTTTCAAAAAGCATTGTTGTGGAAAGAACAATTGCACTTTTCACTTTTCGGGAAACAAAGTTGTGCCTCACTATGAACATGGTGTTTCACACGACAACCCCAAAAAAGATAAAGCAAATATTCTTTCCAAAAACCTACTAAAAACAAGCAAAATCCTATATGTAAAAAAAACATGTGAAAATGCTCAAAATCAGCTGGGATTTTCTTGAAAATGTGTGAAAAGAAGAGTTATTTCACCTCACACAATGTAAAGGTATATCACTAGTACCCTTTTTTTTCTTCCCAAATCAGTACTAAGGTTTACGAGGAAAAAGAATGATAAATGTACTCATAGCGGCTCTCCTGCACACATCTAATTTTAAGATTTTTTTTCCTCGTATACGTATGTTTCATCTCGTTGGTTATGTCCTGCTGGTTAGGATTCTGAAGCGTTGTCTTTTTTTTCTCATAAGTATGATAAAGAATTTAAGCCGGATGACTTTTCTCCAATATAAACGCATATAAGGAAGGTAAACAAAGAGATGCGACTATTGTTTCCTCTCAAGAAAAAAAATTGTCAATAAGAACTTATCCGGATAATCCAATACCCAACTAAACAGGTAACATTATTAGGAAGCCGGGGGTTACTTGCAAATTGATGTTTAAGTTGCTGTTGGAGCTCCATGTTTGAGCGGATGTTGTTCGTTGTAGATCCGACGGCACAAAACGCAAGTTTTCAGATTTTCACTAAAATCAAGTTTTCACTTGATACACCGCATTTTCTTATTACCCTTCAATTTCTTCTTCTTTTTATCGATCTTCCTCTATTGTTTGCCACTGGTCATATTCTTCTCGCCTTTTGCTGGCCGGTTTACCTACTCGTTCTTGTTGTACTTAATTACTTTATGGAAATAATTGGAATCTCTTGAGTTTTTATAACTACTGGAATTTGCACATAAGGCTTTTTTAAGTAAAAAAACATTTTTGGCATTTGAATTCGTTCTAGGTTTAAACCATGATGGTCAAAGGTGGTGTGGCATTCTACGCGTGACCCGTCTCCGGCAATGTGGAACCAGTTCACAAGTTGTGTGAGCAAATCCAGAAATAATCTACCCGTTGGTGTATGTAAACCCATTCCACACAGAGTAATTGTCTACTCCACTCGTCTAATCCTGAAGCGCTGCAAACAGCCGAGCACCGGAGAGGTGCTCCGGCTCTCCGGCTCTCCAGTGCCGTTGCTTCCCACCGTCACCGTTGCTCCTTGGAGCCTCTCCAGATCCCCACGAGCCACGGCGCAGCTCCGCCGACTCTCTCTCCCTTCCTATCCTCCTCCGCCTCGCCCATGTCCTTCCTGTGTTTCCCCGCCAGCATCGACGGACCGACACCGCGTCGATCTGCGGCGGGACCGCAACAGCAAGGTCGAGCTACTGATCGAGTGGCGGCGCACATGGAGGCCACGGCCACGGGGGCAGCGCCGAACCGGGCACCCCCGTTTCCTTGCGCAGTGGTGGCTGGTCCTGCCAGCGAGGGACAGGTGTTCGACGAAATGCCAGGCAAGGGAGGGGCAGTTCTGGGCGCTGTCTCTGTTCGATCCAAGGCCCGGCAGAGGAGAAGCGTGCTGAAGCACTTGAGAAATCGATGCAAAGGCCTGCCATTAGCGAATTGGGGGACAATGCTCTGCTCAGCTCAGCTCGACGGCATGCTTGACATGAGGCGTGAGGCGCCATGTACAGCTAAACGGCTGGTTCGTGCTGCAGACATGTATGTATCCAGTGGCTGTTTTACACGGACAGATAGCAGCTGGAGATACTATTGAATTCAAGCAGCTTCCTGTGCAGTACATAGGACTGGATCAATTGCGAAGGCTTGGCCATTAGTGGGCTGGGAGACGACGCTCAGCTCGACGGAATGCTTGACAGAAGATGCGCATGCCGTCGCCATGGAGTGAAGGAGTGCTGGGCTCTTCTTGGTGGCTCGAGAGCATTGCATTCGGCCAAGATGGTTCGTTCTGCAGACAGACATGTGTATCCAGCGTCAGTGATCATCAACAGATGGTTCCAGACCTACAATGACATTCCCAAGTGCCAACAGAAACAGAAAGAGTAACAGAAGTTCATGTCAGCCGTTTGCACAGCATTGGGAGTCTTTGCCCCCAGACCGGAGACACCCAACCACATGGCGTCCAGACTATAAAAAGGCCAGCCCGTCTCCCCTCCAATACCATCCCCTATAACTACCACCACGTCAGATCACACCTTCCCTCCCAAACTCAAACCACGAAGCCATCGCCCAACGCCCATCGGAAGCAGCAGCCAGGCAACCCACCGCCGCGCAAGAAACCAAGAAGCGGCCATGTCAGGGAGGAGAAACAGAGGCGGAGCAAGTCCTCCTGGACCTGGAGAGAGGCCACCGCCACCCTCCCAGAGCTCCAGGAGGCCGGCGGCCGCCACCTTGGAACAGCGGCTGCGTTCCAGTGTCGAGCGGGAGATAGACGAGGCCAGCGCCATGCAGCCCGCCGAGGCCGGACAAGGGAGCTCCTCCCCCGCCCCGGCATCATCGCGGCCAAGATTCTGGCCGCGAGCGCGGCAGGCGGCTAGGAAGGTTCTTGGCATCAGCAAGAAACCCTCCGCGAGGTCAGCAGCAGGAACCCCGCACGGGCAGGACACGGTACCTGACGCCTCCGGCACGTCGGAGTCGGCGGCCGTGGCGGCGGCAAGAACTGGGACCGGTGATGAAGCCGGGTCGGAGCAGCAGCCTGTAGAGGTCGCCCCCACGCGGTCTGAGTTCGCCGCCATGATGCAAACTGCGTTGGCGAAGATCCAGGAGGGTGACGCGGCCGACGACCAAGCCAAACGGCAGGCAGCGATCGCCGCGATGGAGAAGGCAATGACGTTCGCCGAGATGGAGAAGGCAATGACTGCGTTGATGAAGATCCAGGAGGATGCCGCGGTCGGCGACCAAGCCCAAGGGCAGGCAGCGTTCGCCGAGATGGAGAAGGCAATGACCGGCCTCATGGACCTCTCCCACAAGAAGACATCGGGACCACCGAAACTCCCTCGCGATTTCGCTACCAAATGGCCTCATAGCGAAGTAAGTGCCTGCCACCGTCTCTGATTCTTGGCTTCCAACTCTGTTTCTAATGGAAGCTCATGTCTTGTTCTGGCCCCTCTCGCTTCTTCTCTGTATCTTGCTGTTGATCGGATTCTTTTATCTCCGTGCAAGAATTTCTAGTTTTTGTGGCTCTTTTCTTTGTTTCTTGCTGTTGCTGTTTCTAGCATTTGCACAACAAAATGCTACATGGTGTTCACTGGTCAAGTGGTCAGTGGAAGAAGTATTTTTAAAAGTTCAAAATGAAAAAGTCTCAGTGGAAAATCTCTCGTGCTATTCCGGAAGAAACAGTAGCATTCAATCAAATTGATTAAGCCGGTAGCATCATGGTGTTCTTTTACATGGCGTTCTTTTCTTCATTTATAAGAACTATTAGAATATGGGCAAAATTTCCTGCTCAGTTCAAGTCCAGTAGAATCATGTATGCATGTGTAACAGTAGCATTCGATCAAATTGATTAAGCTGTCTCTCTTGTATGCAATCAAATTTATTGCTCCATTTCAACATCTTCACCAATACTGATTATACAATTGCTGTGTTGTTAGGGTGATCCACTGCTTGAACGAGTAATGAAAGATCCTATTATATTGGCTTCTGGATATGTAAGTCACAAGCTCTCGCCATTGCTTCCTTTTATAAAAAATGTATGGACTGTTTTCTGCTGGATGTTTCCTGTTCTGCCAAGTTTCTCTGCTCACCGTCACTAGCCAATGAAATATTATTGCTAATTTGTCATAAATTATTAATAATGGGCAGCGATAAAAGCTATCCACAACCAGGATTAACTGTCCAATACTATTAATATCATGCAGTTCTCTCCTCTGACTTGGCTAGTTAAATGTAAGTTGAGACTCATATTATCCTTTACATGAGATTCCCTTTTTAGTCACTGAGTAGTTCGATTATCGATGGACTTTCCTCTTGAATTGCATCACATGTTTATAGTTAATAAATAACCAAATAGATCGGGCATTGAAAGAAAAAGGTACAAGTTGACATTCTCCTGGATCATAATAAAATAACCTGCACTTCCTGCTGTATGTAGCAGTTCGAATCGCCTCAGATGTACTTAGGTTAAGCTAGTTGGCCAGGTTTGATATTCGTAAGCTGTTAAATATAACATATGTTTCCCTTGTGCTGTAGGTTTATATGGTTATCTTGGGATTTAATCAGTAGTTATTGGCGCACTATGACATACTGTTTCTGAAAAGTAGAAACCTGGGACCAAAAATCAACAGGCCTTTTCTTGTTTTCCTTTTCGAGTTGATGTTTATGCTATGTTTCTTTTTTCGCCATTTTCTTCCAAGGAAATACTATGTCCCACGGATAAGTTGAAAGTGAAACTGACATGCTGTGCTTACATTCATCGTATGGTCGCATGGGTGTAGGTTTTATGTAAGCTGTATTATGTCCTTTTCTTGTTCCAGAATGCTAAGGTTGGTCATTAGTGGTCATGATCAATTACCATAATAAATTTATTCAAAGTATATTTTGCTTCTTCTGGAACTCTCCCATGGTTTAGATTGACCCAGTAACCACGTTTTGCTTTGCTTGATTGCAGACTGTTGATAAATCATGCCAACAGTGGTCCCTTGCACAGAAAAATACCTGCCCTGTTACTGGTCACTCCTTGCCCCACTCACTCACTGCTCCAAACCACCTCCTCCATGACATGATTGCTGAGTGGTGCCTCGACCACTCTAACCTTGCCCGCTCCAGCATTGGACGCTCGCTCCCCTTGGTGCCACCTGCAGAGGATGAAATTCAAGAGATCCTAGAACTGTTCTCAGGGCATCCAGTACGGCAGAAAGAGGCCTTGCGGATGCTCAATCTAATGTCCAAAACATCCAAGGGAATGCAACCTTGCCTTGCCAAGTGGCCAGAGCTGACCCCACTGCTGATGAATCTTAGGAAGCACTGGATGAATGTATGGTCAGCTGATATTGAGGCGCAGAGGATCTCATTAATCCATAATTTGTCCATGCACAGGCCCAACAGGGAGATCCTAGCCGGTCAGAATGAAGTACCAGCTGTTCTAAAGAATGTCGTCGAGAGGGCAGGAAAGCTTGGACTTTCAGCATCATTGTTGGCCATGGTAGCTTCTATAATTGCAACACTGTCAGAGTTTGATGTGTTCAGGAAAAGAATGGTGACAATAGGGGGAATGAAAATGCTCAGTGGTCTACTCAAGATTGAGGATGATGTTGTACTAAGGAAGGAGACTGGCGCTGCAATCCTTGCACTCTGTGCAGATGAGGAGGCCAAGTTATCAGCTGCTGTTAGTGACGTGCCTGATAGGCTGCTCGAATGCTTCATGGCCACCGATGAGTTCCTGCTCCTGCTCGACCGTCTACCAAAATCTCCAGAGGCGCTGGACATGATCTGTGACAAGGCTATGGAATTGGTGAATATCGTCATGGAGGAAGATGCTGGTGGAATGGTAACCTCTCAGGGCATCCACTCTGCGATCTCCTTGATCTTCGTCATTACGGAGAGGGATGTGGGTAAGCTGAAGGTGAAGAACGTGGAGGATTTCAAGGAGCGGCTGCGGGAGCTTTCGTCCAAGAGAATACCGATGCAGACGATGTTTCAGGTGGAAAAAATAATCAAGACCCTGTCAGAAATGTTTCCAGCTCCTACGACGCAGTTACAGAACCAGTAATCCAGTGGAAGCTGTCTCCAGCCACATGAATAGACGAGTCTTACACTGTCTTTCTGTATAGTTGTTCGTGTATGTGTTCCAGACAGCTTTTTACTGCTGTTTGTTTACATTTTTGTAGTGGTTTCATTTGTTGACTGTGGCCACATAGAGGAACTTGTTCTTACAGCCTCGTGAGAAATATACGCGTCATTCTGTGCATCCTACAGATAAACGAATCATCTAGCTACCATATGTAGACATTTAATTCTTTCCCTAGTAATGATTGGGACCTAATTGTAGTATAGTTTTGATCAATGCTTTGTTTGGTCAAGTATATTTCCTTCGGGAGTGCTGCAACCAGGGAGAGCCAATGCAATGCAGTCTGTTGGGCCCAAGATCTACTCCACCTCGGATTTTTAGGTTTTGTTGTTGTTGAAAGTTGTGATTCATGTGTTGGAAAGTTGAAATGTTGGGGCTGACAGGCTACATTTAGATCCCAGTTTCCCTTTGTTTTTTGTTACGAAAAATTGAAGTTGTGTACCATATGAGCGAATGGTACTAGATATCTATTTTAGTAAAAAGGTTGTATATCAACTAGTGCAAAGTTATCGTATATGTTTCTTTCTGAAAATCCTCTTCTTAATTTCTGAAAGTGGGGTTTGAATTGATGAAAGTTCTTCCGAAAGCTGATGGCATAATTCAGAAACTGTAAGATTGTGAAAGCCTCTTGTCATTTCTTGAAATACAATGCACAAAGTTATGAAAGATCCTCCTTAGTCCTCGAAAATTTGAAGGAGAAGAAGGGGAGCGGTTACTTTCTGATAGGAATATATAGCTGCAATGCTTTTCAAAGATGTTATCGGTAGTAGTACAAAGTTTGATTGAAGTAAAAAGGACATTTGCTTTCGTCTCCTTCTGCTGATTCGTTTCCATGTCTTTGACAAGAGCTTGTGCTCCAAAAACCCACGACAGTGCTCCATGAGAACACATATCATTGCTCAGATTCCAAATAGTACACCGTAAACAAGGCAGCGGCAGCAACCAACCATATTTGAAGCAATTTATTTAATTAGTTTCACTTAGCCACCAACAGCCAACTGACGCAAAATCAGAGCAGGAGCACTCAAAGATTTCGGCAGCGCTGCTATACACACGATGAGCGGTGGACGATATGTGAACGACAATGCAGATCAGCTCATCCATGCACAAAACTGAAGTGAAATAGACGGCTGGATTTGGCCGTCGTTCCCGTGTCGTGCAGGGACTGTCGTCTGTATAGTAGTTTCGAAGATTTCAGTCAGATCACTTTCCAAACTTAGCGTCCTTTGCAAAGTCACAGGTGGCGCCGCCGCCCTTCCTTGTTGGCCCCCAGCTCGCCCCTTAAGTGGGCGCTCAACCGGTCGAATACGACCAAGGAAACGGCTGGTCGCTGCCGGTGGCGGCTCAACATCGAGGCGCTGCAGAAAGGATCAGGAGTGCGCTACCTAGGCTGAGGGCTGAGGCGCTCCTCTGCAAGTGCGCCACCGTAACCCAGGACAGATGCCATGGCGATAGGAGCAACCACGACAACGAAAGCAGCAGCGGCCTGACGGCGTTCAAGATCCGGCTTCGGTTCGTTAGGTAGATTTAGTTAAGTTCTATGTAAATTTGAACTATGCTTTGATGTTTTATGTCCGAACTATGTTTGAATGTAGCTTGAATGTCCGGACACCCCTACTTATTTGAGGTTTACCATTGGGTACCCAGACTCCTAGTGGATGTCCGCATGACACGTCCAAACAGTGTCCGCGAACAAGTAGGTGACGATTGAAAAAAATATACATGTACAAGGCAAACAATTACGAAACGAAAAGGTCTTGAATTATGAGAGGTTAAACTTTAAGCAATTGCCTTGAAATATTGCAGAGCTAAACACTGCACATAATGATGCAGTAAGAGACAACGCACATCCCACTACAGATCACAGAATTTAGACCGTTCAAACACATGATAAATCAATGATAAACATTGCAAAGTTCAACATCATGGCACCGGCTGCAAGGATCCACCACATCTAGCTGAAGTGTAGAGGGAACTTTCCCCTTGATGTATCTTTCGATTATCAAGGCTGCTTTACGGGCTTCCATGGGTCTATTCAAGCAGGAGCATTTAGCAGATCGATCATCAGAACACCTGAAATTACCGTCGGTGGTGTCCAACGTAAGGCACTCGAGTGATGCTGAATTTTCCAGAATATGGGACGTCAACTCAACCATGCTCTTTGAAGAGGGGAACCTACAGATGTTCACTCTCCGGAGCTTGTCATGGCGGTATCCTGGAATCTGCCTTAGATGCGAGGAGTCTTCAGAAAGCAATTCATCTATGGATTCTAGCTGTTTTGGTACCTGAAGATAAAAAGAATGGTTTAAATACTTGAATTAATGATTTGGCGCATCCAAAAATATATTTGCAGAGTGAACAGTGCCTTACGCGCAGTTTGAATGTCTCCAAGGATGGAGCAGCATCAAGAAAATAAACCAGAGACAAACAATCGCAAGACCCACTAATATAAATGCTCAAGTATTTCAGATAGAGGAACTTGCAAGGCGAGAGCGTCAGTGTTGTATTGACCACCTGCATAAAGATACCACATGTTAATAACATTCCAAAGTACCACTACTGCTCTATGCATAAGAATCACAAAAGGGTTTGGAATATACCTCACTCCATGAGCATATGATAAGAGTTTCAAGATTGGGCGCAATGGACGGAAGCTCTTCAAGTGCATAACGGAGGAAGAGGTGACGTAGCACTTCTGCGTTCTTCAATCGCAATGACTCCCCAAATAAGAACTCAACTCGGTTACCTATAAAGCAAAAACTATTAATATTTGGAGCTTTGTTCTCTATCGTCTTCAGTCTGTGGCATTCTAACACCTGCAGGGAGCTGAGTCGCTGCAGCCGGGAAGGTATCTTTAGGTAAGTTATCTGGTAGCATCTCCTGAGTTTTAACTGCTCCAAAGCAACACAGCTGGGAAGAAGGCGCCCTAACTCGGCCCCCGTAATTCGTACACGCTCAAGATGCAACACTTTCAGGTTTCCCAAGCAACCAAGGCCAACTTTAGGATGGAAGGCACAGTCAACAAGGTGAAGATACCAGATCGAGCTTCCATTCCCATTTGATAGAACTGAGCATGGGAAGTTGACTGCCTCATCCTTAGGCATCACAAGGGTGAGTTTTTCAATGCCCGGTGTAACCACTTTCTGAAGCCACTTATGGAGATATTCATAGGCCTCGGGCTTGTAGCAAGAGGAGAAATCAAGCTCGAATGTCTTCACATCAATGCATGAGTGTTTTTTCAAAATGCGATCAACTTTGCGAGGTTGGGATACTGTGTGAACATTAAATATGAGGTTGGGATAGAATCTCCACGAACATCGAAAGGCACGAGACACACATGCAGCACGGGCGGCATCTCGTGGCGTCATTAGTGAATGTATATGACACCAAATGTCCTGCACGCACAAGAATGGGAGAAGAGTTAACACACTCGAAATGTAAAATCAAATGTCTACCTTCATCGGCGCAAAGGGAGGGGGAGCCAATAGAAGTATATGTAGTAGCACTCTACAAAATTTCTTTTTCCCAGAGTGTTATAGGTCAGCAATATAGGTTGATATGCATTTGTGTAAATCAAGATGCATGGGAGATATTTTATTGCAGAACAGCATGCTATCATACATCAATGTAACAAAGAAACAGAACAAAACATACATATTGTTTCCCTAAAAAAAAACATACATATTGTGCAAAGTTAGAAATACATACCCTTCCTTCTTGTATTGGCTCCTATGGAGATGTTTAAAAAATACGAATGCTTGTTGATTTGAAAAGAATCGAGGAAGAACCCTTACGAGAATACAGATGCGACTTAAGGTAAAACAAGATACAATAACAAGGCATAGACTAGTGACAGACAGTTTTACGCTGCAGGGATAAATCTGGAACAGTTGGGATATAATAGAACTACTAACGCAGCAGGGCTAACTGCAGGAGATTGCAGCGCAGGAATATTTGAATTTCAGTTATCTACCATAGGTTGTCAACCAATTTGTGCAGCATAGGTCCATCATTCAAATCCATGATGTACCTCTGGAAGTAGGGTCCATGAAGACTCCCTTCTTTTGACATGGTGATGATTATCATCTTGCTGGCAAGGAGAGCCGCTTCTTATGGCCAGTGGAGAAGTAGACCCGTCTGCCACAGAAAATTGTTACTATGGTAAGTGCAGGCTATGTTTTTTTTATAAGAACAAATGTGATTTGGGGCTAAAAAAGATGCGACCAATTTTATTTACCGCCCTCGCAACGATAGGATAAGAGTAGTTTACCGTGGATCTGGATTTGGCCAAGACGCTGCTCCGGCTGCCCCATGGCACGACTGATATGAGCAATCAAGGGCGCCAAAAGGCGTCGAGCTCTGCTGTTTTCCCTCTTATTATTGTTCTTTCTCCCCGTCGATCTCTCTGAGACTCTGGCCTTCGCCCTGGGAGACACGGGATCGAACGAATCGTTCGACCCAACCCCTGGAGAAACTGCAAACCAATCGTTGAGATGGTTAGGTGGACAGTGATATCTTCAACCCACCAGGGTTCAAACGGCGACTTCGTAAAATCTCAAGATGATATGCCGGCTCAGTTTTTCGGAGGTGCTCATAGGGGTAGGGTGTGCGTGTGTGCGTTCATAGGGGTGAGTGTATGCGCGTTTATATGAGCGTTTGAGTCTGTACTGTGTTAAAAAAAAACCCTGGAGAAACTTGTTGCTACAAAAGGACAGCGGTCTATAAGAAAAAGTAACTGGGCCAAAAAAAAGGCCCAGATTGGAGCACACATTTAGCAGCCTTTCTTGTTGTTGCAAAAATCATATAGAGGATTTCTTTTATAGAATAAAATTTGACATCTACAATAAAAATAAATAAAATATAAAAATAATTTTCATGGTGGATCTAATGCTACCAATTTGGTATTGTAGACATTGATATAT